CCGACAGGGAATTGCACAGAGCAAACTGTCTCAGGGCAAACTTCTGCTGTGCGGGGACAATCGACAGCTACACCCTGTACCTGGTCAGAGCATCACTTTAGTTAAAAAAACCCAAGAAAACAGACTTTGAACACCCGAAACCTCAGCAGTGGGGTTCAGACAGAGGTACGCCCCCGCCAGACGCTTGCACCCGAAAACTCAAGCCACAGAGCCGATTACAGCTCAAGTACTTTATTATCGCTAGGTTTTCCATTACCACCCAGGATTATCCTGTCTACATACAGTTGCTAAAATCTGATGGAGAATTTACAAAAAATGTGAAGTGCTAAGCAGCTGGTGAGCAGAGACCTAAGCTCGGGGGCAGCGCTCTGGCGGGCTAAATGTCTTCAGCAAGACAAACGTGCAGCATCAGGTGAACGTGTTTTTAAGAAGAGCCAGAACCAAGCAGAACAAGCCACCCCGGCTCGCTGCGCCGGACAGCTGGCACGGCTGCACGCAGCCAGGGACCGGCCGCAGACAGGCAGCTCTCCAGCGCCCAGCTTAAAGAGCAACTCCTTGGAGTCACGGGTGCTACCGGAGAGATGACAACAGGAAAGCACAGCCGGTTCTGAGCACCTATCTAAAGCGCCACAGCAGCTCTCCCTGCATGGGGCAGCCTCTGAGCGCTCACCCAGCTCCCCGCTGTGAACACTGTTCTCATACTAAATCCAAAACACAGCACTGTACCAGCTACTAGGAAGAGAATTAACTCTATCCCAGCCGAAACCAGGACAACCCGCCCAGAGCTCCCGGTCCCTGGCCGCGCTGCGTCACCCAGGGGGTGCAGAGCCCCCACAGCCACCCCAGCACGGGCAGCATCCCTGCGGCGCAGGCAGGAGAGCTAGGGAAAAGATGCGGCTGCCTTAACCACATTTTAGACACGGGATCTGGAGCATTTTTTATGTTCTTTTGACACCTCCTGTCCCAGAAGTGACATCAGAAAAGCATCCACATCCAGAAAAGAAAGGGTTAAGGAGGGAAACAAAAATCTCAGATTCTCTGCCATGGAGGCTGGAAACAGATGCGAGCTGCAGTCCCAACCAGAGCGTCCCGGAGTCCTGCCTGACATCTTGGAGCAGCTTTCCCTGTCCTGTTGCTCACGGAGGAAACCACCCGCACAGGGAGGGAGCGGCAGGGGCACAACATTAATCCAAGTGGCAATTACGAACATCTCCATTTGCTGCTGCCTCTAGTAAGGAATGAAATAACCCAGACCCCAGCGCTCGCTTCCGGCACTATCAGCAATCACGGCGCAGGGACCGATAAGGTAAAGGTGTTCCCAGGAAAAGCTGTACCTTTGGCGAGCACAGCCCCGATCCAAAACATTTTTCAGCCCCTGTTTACACAACCCGCTGGGAGGGGGTTGTGTCCCTGGCTGTAAACCGCAGCCAGAAATTTTATCTTAACTTTCTGCTGCACAGAGAGGCTGCCACAATAAATATCAGCAAGATCAACAAAGCAAGAGGTCCAAGGAGCAGCCGCTCGTCACGGCTCTGGGCTGAACAAGAGCTGCCAGGATCCTCCCTCAGATGCGCTCACACCAAGAGTGGAAGGCGCAGTAATTCGGAAACATTTTAAACCAACCCCAAAATACTCAAGCCACACACCGAACGCACATCGGGAGACTGTGGGAGGGCGCTAAGGACGCCTGCTGTCAAACTGCCATCCTTAGGCAAGGAAGCAGGACCACCGTGAGAAGACACCAAAGCCAGGTTTTAAAAGCGTGAGCAAAGCCTGGAGCTGCTCTGAAGGGGAGGCAGGGTTTGAGGTCCTCAAGCTCCTGCCCTCACCCGACTGAGCCGCCTCCGATAAGGCTTTCCCAAGCTTTCACTTCCAGGAGGACAGAGCTGCTGCATCTTTCACCCCCAAAGAGGCAGAAGAGGAAGCCCGAAGCCCTTAGACAGTAAGGTCTGCACAGCCCCTACAATCTCAGTCGCTGCGTGCATCACACACAAGGCTCTTTTGTTTTATTTATTAAACAGAAACAGATTGCTCTAGGCAGCTTTAACCCAAGTGATAGAATCGGTTTCCATAGACACTTAACTGCTTCCCTATCAAAATTCAGATGCAGCTAGCGAGCTGTGCATGGCCGAGCTGAAGCTGGAGCAGCCTGTGCCTGGGGATAAGCAGTGTCTGACACCGAGCACAACACGGCGAAACCGAAGCCTGGCCCCTCCAAGGGGCTGTTCACCCATCGCTTCGTCAGCCTTTAGAGTCATTTCAGCTCAACCTCTTCTCTGCTAATTGACTGCCTCAGAGATGGCATTAATGAGTACAGTTTGCCGTTCTCCTAGCACAGCGATCCGGTGAGCCAGGCCTGCAGGAGGGACTGGGAGGAGTTCACCTGGGACTGCAAAGACAACAAGACCAAAACCCATCTCAGCCCCACAAGAGCCTCAAAGAGAGGCAGCAGCATCCCTGGGGGGAGCTGGGAGAAGAGCCACCTCGAACCATGTCTGCACAGCAAAACAGCAGCGAGGACGGGGCAGCTCAGAGGGTAGAACACAGGAGCCATGTCCGAGCCACGGAAAGACTGGAAAAGCAGCTCCTGAATGACTTACGAGAGGAGTAAGTGTAAGAAAGGGAAAGGAGGCACCGAGCATCGCAGCTCGGACGTCTGTCGCAACTCTGACTGAGCAAATACAAGCCACCAGCTGCGTTGCACTGGGAAGCTGCAGACAGCGTGCAGCAGATCTTGCAACAGCTCTGCCGCGCTCAGCAGGGCTTAGGGTATAAACACAGCCCCCACCACACACAGCCCAAGCGCTGGGTGACTTCTACTAGGAGAAACACTGCTTCAGTACAGCTGACCTGCCTGTCCCCCAAACCGCTCCCTCTCCCCTGCGTCACCCCCTTCTCCTTCCGAGGACTAAGGTGGGCAGCGCTGCCTCAACTCCCAGACCAGAAGCTGGCGCTTTTCTCTCCTTTGCAAAGCAAGACAAAAATGCCAGCAAAGCCGCTCCCTGCAAACGCTTCCTCTTTGCAAACGCCACGAGCCAACAGTGCCCCAAAATCCAGACACTAAGAATAGCAGGCGCTTTTTTAAGCTACATTAACAGTAAATACAGAAACGCTTTTACCATTCACATGAGGCAGGATCAGCTCCACATTGAGCTTGTTATCCCCATCGACAGCAAAAATCTGGTTTCATTCCTGCACTCAGAGCCTGCTCCGGACTGCGACTCCATTTAGCAGTAAATTGGTGACTTACCCAATTCTTTAGATCCTTGGCTTTCACTGGCCAACTCTCCCATCTTAACCAGAGCATCAAAGTATCCTTTTGCTGCATATGTCATACCTAAAAGCATCAAAAAATGCAGGTTATATTCTCTTTAATGGCTATTATAACTTCTATGGCACTGAATAGATGCTAGACACTGAAATAGACATTACTTCAAAGGGCTTAACCCCATGGGGAGGGACTAAACAAACAGAAGAAAAATGACTGAAGAAAGAAGAAAGCCTAAACAGCCCTGTAATCTTGCTGCTCAAGAAGGGAAAAAAGGTACATGCAGGTCCAAGGTGGTTTTCATTCCAGTGTAACCATCAGCCTGCTTAATGCTGCCCAGAAAAATCACTGTGGAATAACTGAATATCAGACTTTCATTATAGTTCAGTCTTGTTTGTTGACATTCCAGCTACACACTCCACTTTAATCAGATAAGCAGGGGGTTTCCTCTAATCACGAGAACATGTTGTACAGCTTTAGCTCAACACCATCAAATTATGTGCTGAAGCCTCTTCCAGCGTGATTTACTGATTAAGACACTTCCTTCAGATGCCCCCACAAGCTCAGAGATCCAAAGTAAAGGATAACCAAAGACAATTTTAAAAATTACAGGAAGATCTTGGGCTTCAAAGCATATTCACAGCAGGGATGTGAGAAAAATAGAAAACAAGTGATCATACTGGTTTTCCACAAAACGCTGCAGTTACAGTGTGCCCAACTTAAGCTGTGATAAAACAGCACGTTATAAGCAGACTCCACTACCCCGGGTAATTAAAAGCTGCATTATCAGCAAAACATTTCAGGAGAGCAAATAAAAAAACACAGTCCCAAGTGCAACCTCTTCTGCCCCCGTCAGACCCTGCCTCTCCTCCCTTCCCTGCTGCCTGCACCCAGGAGGAGACCCAGCAGGGAAACAGCAGGCAGAAGCACACCCAAACCATGAACCCCTGCTTCGTTAGCATCATTAGGAATAGCTGGGAAATTCTGCTGCTTGTAAGGGTGTATTAAATGCCCCATCCCCAGGGGATCAGAGTCCACAGCCCCTGTGCAGTGGACAGGGATGGACGGGCACTTCCCATGTCACGGCCAGTTGATCCATTAAAACCTAGTTAAAAGCAGTGCTGAGAACTGGCAAGAAAGCAGCATGCAGGGGAGCGCCTGTACCTGAGAACAGCAGGAGGTCTGTATCTTAAAAGATCCTTCACTGAAACATCCAGGAACCTCATTTAGCTTGTAGGAAATAAAATTTGCTCCAGGCACAAAGCAAGAAGGCACAGATCCTTCCCAAAGGTCGTATTTCAAACACCATCGTTTAAGAACATGAGACACCAAAATATTTTTTTTTTCCACTGGCTTAAGACGATGACAGCCTCCTCCCTTACAGGCATTTTCACTGAGCCAATTAAAAAAATAAAATCCAAGAGGCATGTGCCGCACAGCTCTGAAGTGAGCGGAGCCCTTCCTGAAAGAAAGCAGCTGCCTCCGGGGTCGAACAAAGCCTGCCTTAAACCTCCTTAAAACCGAGCCGAGGAGGGCCCAGGCAGTATGCAAAGTCATTTTAAGTCAAAATAGTCCATTTCTAGTTTTCATCAATTCAGAGTTTGCTTTTGATCATTTAAATCTACACCTCCCTAATGGCTCCCAATAGGAGCCTATATTCCCAATCAAGAGCTGCCACCAATGTTTTTAGGTTTTTTCCTTCTCTTCCAATGCATTCTTCTGGGCAATTTGAACATTTCAATGACGCATCTTTACACAGAACTTAAAATCTTAATTCTAAATATTTTAAAGTAACATTTAAAGATAAATTGGTCAGAGATGTGTTTGTTATCCAGTTGCCACCCAACATTTTATCACTGTGGATCCTTTCCACATCCACAGCCCCCCAGCAGGCGCATGCCTGGCGCATCCTAATGACATGAGCTTTGCATCGAGGTCCAAGAACCATCTCCCCAGGTTTCCTCCCCTCACTCCCCTTGGGAACAAAGAGCATCCCAAGCTGGTTTTCCAGCTTTCCTCCCTTCCAAGGCCATGCTGTCCAGCCAGACCCTCACCAGCCCTGCAGCCCCCAGCATGTCAGCAATAAACGCATCAGCAGCACAGTTTCACTTACTTGCTAAGGCTTTTTCATAGGTCTTCCCCATAGAAATGAAATTCCTGAGGCTGGGATTGAACTGCTCCATGATCGTCTAAAGGAAAAAGAACATCATCAGGGATTAGCAGAGATGATCAGGAGCTGGACAGAGCAGCCCTGCGCTCTCCTGGGGCAGCCCTGCTGA